CTCGGTCGGGAGCCGGACCGGCCCCCGCGGGGACCTGACTGCTCTCTCCCTCTCTCTGCAGCGACATCAGCCCCTTGCTGAAGGATCCTGCAGCCTTCAGGATTTTGATTGATCTTCTGGAAGAGCATCTGAGGGCGTCTTTCCCCAAAATCGACTTCATTGCAGGTGAGTGTTGGTGGAAACGTCTCTGAGACCGGAGCGCCGTGTCCTCGGGCCGCCCGGGCAGGCGGTGGCGGTGAGGAGACTCCTCTGCTAACGGGGCAGCAAACACCATAGCCCTCGGGCATGATAATCACCCGAACGTTGGCCTCTATCGTTCTCCTCTATCGTACAGTACGGCAACACCGGGACAGGTTATACCCGTAACCGACTCCTCTAGTTTCCTGAAAGACTGGTTTTGGATGTGGCAGTTGCCATCTGATGATACTTCAGTGCCAATGTCGTAATTCGTTGCTTTCATCATTAAAAAAGGAGTCATTCAGGGAGTACTGAAAGCCTGCTGTGCCATGCCAGTAAGGTTTCGCACAGTCCCCACGGCAGGCAGACCCTGTTCCAGCATGTTGTCCTTCTCAGGAGGCCTTTTCGAGCCAACAGAAACAGCCTTTGTGGTGAGAAGGCGTTGCCGCACACCTGCGAAAGAGGCTGAGGATGGGAGCGCTTAGGAAGGCGATAGCCCAAAGTTCAAGGTGTCTAGACAAGCCTAGTCCGAGTGCCTCATGATAACTGAAGGCTCTCCCCTGGTGGTGCAAAGGCCCTGGCTGTGTGGCCAAAATGATACCGGGGCTTCGCTGAGCTTATCTCCAAGGAGGAGAGCTAGAGGGGAGGCAAAACGGGCTGATGGGGATCTATGTGGTGCCCCGAAGCCCGTCAGCAGCGTATCTTGGCGAGCACAGGCAGTGCGGTGTGTGCTTTCAACCCGCAGGAATTACTGCAAGAGCAAATGACTTCTAGAGACACCCCCCCAAATACATGAGGATAAACCTGGGGTATCGTACAAAGATCCCCCCAGTCGAATGGCTCCGTTCTGAGTATTTGTGCTGCTCCGCTCCCCCCAGGCCTGGACTCCCGCGGCTTCCTCATCGGCCCCCCTCTGGCTCAGAGACTGGGGATCGGCTTCGTGCTGATACGGAAAAAGGGGAAGCTTCCCGGTCCGACCGAGTCTGTCTCCTACGCCCTTGAGTATGGCAAGGTAATGCCCGGGGAGGAGAAGAGGGTTTACCAGGCTGGTTGATGCAGGGCTGGGGGGTATGAGCAAGGGGACGGTGTGATAAAACCAGTGGGGGAGGGTGTCCCCAAGTTGGGTTTTGCAGCCAGTGCTGATGCCACGGGCAGCCTGGCCTGGCACAAGCTTCAGGAACGATGCTGAGCTTTACCATGCCCTGGCATGGTGGCTCCCTCCCCGAGCCACGGACACACGGTTTGTGTCAGCAAGCCACGCTGTGATTTTTTTTGCAGGAAGGGGGCACAGGGATGATAAAGACTTGGTGCTAAATTGCTTTCTTTGGCTTGAATTCAGGGGCGTGAACACGGAGTGTGTTTCCCACTCTTCCAGTAAGTGCTATAAGTAAATGCCTTTATTGCATGGCTTCAAAACAGAGCGCTCACCTTGTAACACCGCAGCCTCTCTGATGAAAGAGCAGAGGTGTAAAGCCTGATAACACGCTACTGCTGGTAACTAACGGCAGCCAGGGACCGGCAGCAGAAACACCAAACCTAGGTATCATTTATGAGGGCTGTTTGGGCCAACCCCTGCGTGGGACAAGTTCATCTGACACAGGACGTGCTTGTGACGGTTTGGATCCAGCTTGGCAGTGCTCTTGGGCAGAGCGCTCCAGCCCGGTGCATTACAGGAGATTTTCCCCACTGGAGGACTGCTTCGGGATAAGGTTTCGTGGTGGGACCATAACTCACTTGATGAATGTTCAGGATCTTGACATGCCAGAGGGTTGGCCCAGCAATCACCTAACCTGCTATATATTTCCGTGGCAGTCCCCTGTAGCTGCAGTATGTGGTTTTTGGGGGGTTTTAGGTGCTGAGTGTTAAGCTTGATCTCACTGAAGACTTGTCTGCATTCCACCATGTGTTAGCAGTTTGCGAAGTGTTTCTCTGTAAGGCAAGACTCAAATGAAGCTACTCTTTCCACCCTGCAGGCTGAACTTGAAATCCAGAGTGACGCCGTGGAACCAGGACAAAAAGTAGTTATTGTAGATGACTTGCTTGCAACTGGAGGTGAGAGAAGCAGCCGGTGTTAGAGCATGTGTAACCCACGTGCACGTGCGTTGGTAGCAGCAGGAGCGGCTGTGGGGTTTTGCAGCTTACCTCAGCAATGCTCCTCGAGGGACGATGTTTCCCCTCAACCTCTGTGTCATGCAGGTACCATGTGTGCAGCCTGCGAGCTGATGAAGAGGCTGAAGGCTGAAGTCCTGGAATGCCTGGTGATCATAGAGTTAAAACTCCTGAAAGGGTCGGAAAAGCTCAAGTCCATCCCTTTCTACTCTCTGCTGCAGTATGACTGAGGAGGCGCAGGAGAAGGGAATGCACGCCCCGTGTCACAAGGGGGTGGAAAGGGGGGAACCTACAATTTTGATCCTGGCCAGATGCTATACAATCATAAGTCCTATTTATTTTTCAAGCCACAGATTAAGGTCTCTTAAGTGCAGGATCCTTTTTGGAGTCTGTCCTTTTGGGAAGAAGGAACAGCTTTATTGTTTTTGGGGATGGAGACCAAGACACAGCTTCACTGAATTTTTTTTTTTTTTTTTTTTTTTTTTTTTAGGAGACCAAAGTGAAAATACTGCTGCTGAGGCAGGAGAGGTCTGATAGCTTAGGGGGCCCAGCATTCCCTTTCAGCTGAGCCTTGCCTGGTCAGCCTCTCCCAGCAACCCGTTAAAAGTTTGCCAAAGAAACAGTGAAGATGGGCAAGAAGTGATTATTTGTCTAAGGGATAAACCCCTCTGTATTTGACCGCAGAGGGTGGTCTGGTAGCTCTCAGCTGTCGCTCACACCAGAATAGGTTGCTCTTACATTAAGGTAGTGCTTGTTAAGGAGAATTAAGTACCTGCCCAGCCCTGTGTCCTGAAACCAGGAGGCAGCCACTGCCAGCGCAAGGGAGGCTGCTGGCGTAGATGAGCTCAAACACCGCGTCACCTTGCAGCTTGGCTCGTGGTCTCCTTCCCTTGAGACCACGGGAAGCTGAAGGTCTCTGTTGTAGGAAGCCATGCCCATTCCCTTGGTTCAGGGTAGTTCTTAGCAGTGGATTTTGCTAAACTAGGAGCAATCTACATCAGGAGAAGTAGCACGCAGCAGGGTGGCAGGCGGTGAGGAAGGGGACCATGCGAGTTCTCAGGCTGTTCGCCTGCCTTCTGTCCAGCAGCGCTGGCATCTGCCAAAGCCTGCAGCTCCAGCTGGGGCTGGCAGCTTTTGTTTAGCAGAAATTCCCCATCTACTGCAACAAATCTGACTCCTGCGCTGCTGCCTCCCCTCTGCTGCGTTCTTCTTGAGGCGTCAGGACGTTGACGCCCATTTGGAGCCCGTTCTTGGTATGTTTGGTGTCAGATAAGGCCACAGGAAAGAAGGGAAAGGTGTTATGCTTGCAGCCGAGCGCCGGTGGTCTCACTCGGGTTGTGTGAGGGATGACGTGGGGTTTGGAGATGATCCCTATAGCATTGTCTCAGTTTGGTCACAGGAGCAGCTAAAACCCAGTGTGCCAAAACTTTCACATGCCTGAAAACATTAGGGACTGTGTCCCTGTCCTAGCAGGGACTGAACTCACTGGTAAAATAAATGTTGACTTACTTTTACTTTTTCTAAACTGTCTCAGAGCTGTTCATGGAATCACAGAACGGTTTAGGCAGGAAGGGACCTTAAATGTCATCTAGTCCAACCCCCTGCCACGAGCAGGGACATCGAGATCAGGTTGCTCATAGCCCCATCCAGCCTGGCCTCGGATATTTCCAGGGATGGAGCATCTTCCACCTCTCTGGGCAACCTGGGCCAGGGTTTCACCACCTGGCACATAAGGATTTCTTCCTTATAGCTAGTCTAATTCTGCTCGCTTTTAGCTTAAAACCATTACCCCTTGTCCTATCGCAACAGGCCCTGTTATGAAAGAAGTCTGTCCTCATCCCCCTCTCAGCCCCGGCAGCTGCAGGAAGGTCTCCCCGGAGCCTTCTCTGCTCCAGGCTGAGCCCCCCCAGCTCTCCCAGCCTGTCCTCCCAGCAGAGCTGTTCCAGCCCTCGGAGCGTTGCTGGGGCCTCCTCTGGCCCCGCTCCAGCAGGTCCGTGTCTCTCCTGTGCCGAGGGCTCCAGAGCTGGACGCAGCACCGCAGGGGGGTCTCCCCAGAGCGGGGCAGAGGGGCAGAACCCCCTCCCTCGCCCTGCTGGCCACGCGGCTTTGGGGGCAGCCCAGGACACGGTTGACCTGGGCTCTGAAATCTGCTTCTTGCAGTAGCTGAAGCCATTAATTACCCTTGTGAGCATCTTCCTCCACACCCAGGCTGCTGCTGGAGAGCCAGGCTGCGGCCCGAGCCCCACCTTGCCACCCCAAATGCTTGGAAGGAATCGCTTGCCAGGACTGAGCAGTTCAGTATCTTTTCTCCGTGCCCGGCGCCAACCTCTGGCTGAGGTGGGTACCCAGGCAGGTCCTGCTGGGTTGCAGTGGAAGTGCCCAGTGCCGATGGGAGCACAGACCAGCGTCCAGGTACACCGCACACCCTGCCCTTACACTTGTAAGGGTTATTACAGCTATTTTTATCACCGTTTCCTGAAAAGCCACTTCTGCGGCTGCTCACTTTGGGTGAGAAACACCATCCCCCAGGGAGAAACCTACCCCAGGGCACTCGTTTCTGCAGCCAGCCCCTGCGGAGAGCCAAGGGAGGCAGCGCCTCGCACACATACTTGGCACACGGAGAGGGTCCCTGCTGCGAGGCAGAGAAGGGAAAAATTAGTTCCACCCCAAAGAGCCGTGGAAAGCAGCTGCGTGCCGTGGAAGGGAGCGTAAGCCGCGGCGTTGCCAGGGCTGGCTGCCTGCGGGGCCAAGGGGTGACATCAGGGAAGCCGGGGACGGTGCCTTCACGTTGGCCGGGCGGCGAGCAACCGTTGATGTAATTGCGCACAGCGACAAGGCTGCGCAGGGGTGGCTTCCAGGGAGGAGGAAGGGTTTTGTCCCAAGCAGCAGAACGGGAGCTCGCTGTGAGCTCCCCTGGGGCACGCGTGTGCCTGCCAGGCTGCCGAAACCGGCTCCTCTGGAAACCA